ATATATGTATCTCTTGCGCCGTTATTTACTTATAATTTTTAACCTTAGGTTTTAACTATAGCCCCGTTTATGTGCTAGTTGTATTTTCTCTAATAAACCTTAAAATAAATATGTAACTATTAAAGAAAAATTGTTCATTCCTGTAGCAATTCACTCAAAATCATCTCAGGACTATCCAGTGGTATATGTATGCTGCTGTATGGGAAACATTGCTATCACATACATTTATACGGTTGGCATAGTGATCTTGTCATATTTTGTATGGTTTCAGACATATAAAAAGGTATTGCTGTAACTTCAGTAATATGGATTTGCAATCAATATATTGATTAGCTTATTGCTTTGCTGTTTTGAGAACTAGAAAAATATTGAAATATTTCATCAACGTATTATTTGTAACCTACTCATAGTGGAGTTACAAGTGATTAGGCAAGGTAAAAGTATAATTATAGATAATTGTTACATTCAGAATTGATAAATAGAAGTTGTTAATCCATATGAGACCATAGGATATCTTTGAAATATCAATTACCTAATTAAATTTGTAAATGATAATTATATTCTATTATATTTAACAGGGTAGAAAATACTTTTATAATTCTAGATTCGTAAATACAAATCATGGTATTAGGGTTTTGTGATCACTTTGTATTCAGCAAACATCATTAATAAGTTCAAGTGAGTTTAGCTTTTATTTTAATGGGGCATGAAGTTGGCATTTCTGATTTTCTTTTTAAATAATTAAATAATAGTAAAGATATGATAGTTTTCCCCCTAGAATACAAATTATTAAGCTGTCAAAACTTGGCATGAAAATATTTCTACTGCTTGGCTTAAATTTTAAAAACTAATTGCTATTTTGGTGTCACTTGATTGAGTCAGAATACATAATTGCATGGTTCAAGCATCCTAATCATTAGTGCCAACAGACGATGCTACAGGAAGGTGCTGGATAAGTGCCTACTCCCAGTTCTCCTTTTGGGAAGTAAGGAAAAGAATAGTGGCTGGAGACCATTGTGGAACTATTTAACCACAACTTTGGTTCTTTTTAATGTGCAAGTATATAACATTATCAGGGTTACCAGTGCTGCCTTTTGATACATGGATGAATGGAATTGTGATAATGTACAAAATGCAGAACTTAAAAAAGTGTCATGGCACAAATTCTATTTTTAAGCTGTTGCAATTTTAATAGTAGTATTTTTCTTGATTTTTAACAGTAAAATGATGGAAAAATATATATGTTAATGTGCAAACTCAGGTTGTTTGTCTTATAAAAGGTAGTTTAAACTGTTTAAATTAGTATTTCTGTTTAATTGTAATCCATTAACATTGAAGAAATCAGTAGCAGAGCAGTGAATGTTTTTGAGAAATACTAGTGAAATCTCTATTCATGTCAGCCAACTTGGTAATGACAATTACCATCCACTCCCCCAAATGTAAATATTGTCACCTCATTTTGCTCCTAGAAAAGATACTACGAAGAGGCATATACTTTTCATTGGATGGTCACCTGCTTCTTGTATCATTGATAGAAGAAAGAGAGAGAGAGAGGGAAGCATGAAGGAAGGGAGAGAAGAAAGGGAAGGGAATGAAAGGAAAGGAAGGGAAAGGAAGAAAGGGGAGAGGAAAGGAAGGAAGGAGAGAGCATTTTTTTCTGTTGCCTTTTGGCTTATCCCTTACGCAGCCAAGGTAAGAGATGGTGAGTGATAGTTAAGGCCCAGAATCAAGGCAAGTGCCTACTCCCTCCTTTCATTGACAGGATGCCAGAAAATGCATCAGTGCTGTATTTATCAAATGGATATTTTAAGCTTTATTCTGAGTACCAGTGAAAACTGATTCTTCGTTCAGTGAGTGATACATTGTAGCTTCAGAACATTACTTCCATACTGAAGTACTGCAGTAGTTTTTATGCTTAACTTCACATTTATTCATTATGTATATATTTATTGAACATCCACTATGGGTCAGGCACCTCGCTGACACTATTTTAACATGTTTTAAGATGGAGAGACCTATGTAAGTTTTAGACATTATCCCATAAGTAACATACAAATAGAATACTTTTATTCCCATTTCCATAATGTCAAATGAGCTGATTCTAAAATCTACTTTTTTTATGGTCTAGAATTTATGAATGCTTTTCCAGGTCTGTTGATAAGGGAATAAATTTAATTTGAAACCGAAGAATTTTCGAATTATAGCTCTTGTAACAAGAGAAAGTATTTTAAGTTACACATGGGTCTGCATTAACATTTTTGTTCTTATTTTGAATATTTCCAAAGCACATTTGTAGGGGTACAGAATTATGAAGCTACTAAAATAACGAGTTTCCAGATGACCTCAGGAAACAGTACAAATAAGTGAGAATGTTTACAGATCTTCAAAACACCAACCATAAGTGCTTGGCCAAATGAATTTAAAAAGTTAAACAGAAATTTTACTAGCTTTACTTAGAAACTGGTTTAGAAGGTATGTCTAATCCCAGTGTTCCCTGTTTTTTCCCTATTTAAAATAAAATTTCAATTGTGCCAATTATGTGAATATTTTTGACATAACCATGAATGTGTCTATATTTAAGACTTTGTCATTTAATATTTTTAAACCTGATGTGAAGACCACCTTTTGGGTGGCTAAAGAGAGTGGTAGATGGTGTCAGTTGATACCTGTTTTATTTTAAATGTGCCAACAGAGCTATTTTGCAATATAATATTTAATAGCTCTTAGCTTGCATGTGATTTTACTCAGTGATTTTATACAATAGCTAAATAAAATTTCCTGAAGATTAAACTGTATAATGTATCACTTTCATCTAATTTTTGTAGTATAAAATAACATCCTGCCTACTGTCCTTAAATTCATATTCATAATTTATTTATCTGCATGTTATCTGATATATAAGCCTAAACCAAATATGTTATGTGCAATAAAATTGAGTATCTATACATAGTGTATAAAGAAAGACTATTTTTAGATATTTAAAATGTTTTGGTTAATGTGAAAATTCATCAATTCAAATCTATTTAAAAGATAGATAACTATATTTTTAATTTTGAGTAGCATTGGGTAATATATCATTCCTACGGTTTTATCCTTTTTTTTGCAGTGTTTTTAGAAAATAAATAACTTATTGAGTATTATTTTGATGTTCCTGTATAAACATGCATAATAAATATTAAATTCTTATTTACTTTATACTTCAAGATTTGTCCTGGAGTTTTTTGCAGTGCACATTACTGAGTAGAATATTTTATCTATCAACACTGTATTTACTTACTTAGCAAAATTCAAAACATTCTTCATATTTTAGAAATTCATGGTTTCAGAATAAAATATTTTAATAGGCTACTCTTACTCAGATTTCATTATCTACCAAAGGTGAGTCTTCATCCTTTCAGATGTTTCTGGAAATGTTTGAGTTATTTAGGCAGGATAATTCATTAGGTAATATTTTTTTTAACTGTGTTTAACCTTTTTTGGGTCATATAGCTCTTTGAGATTATGAGGAAAGTTATAGCCCATCTTTCATTTGTTTAATAATTTAGTAAGTATTTATTGAATACCTGCTGTGTAGTAGGCATTGGGGAAACGGCACTGAACACAGGATATAGAAATCTCCAAGAAGGGAGCTGAACAGACATCCTAAGAAATGAAGAGTAAGGAAAAGATATGTCAAATGGCAAATGACATGGAGAAAAATCAAGCAACATTACCCATACAGCCATATAGGAATTAAGGTCCTGCTATTCCCAAAGGGAAACTATGAATGTTGGGGGAAGAGGAGGGTTTTAATTTGCAAGCCCTTTCCTGTAGAAGATGGGAAGGAAAATTCTCAGAAAAATATATGCACCAGATTTTTGTATGTAATTTTAGAGGTTCATGAATTCCCTGAAAAATGTATTTTCATACATTTTTAAAGTTGCCCTCAAGCAGAAATATCCAAACTGTTTGTATTCCCATTTGTATGTAGATAGGCTGGTTATGCCACAGTGGCAAATTACCAAACATCCCAGTGGCTTAACACAACAAAAGTTTATGTCTTACCCAGGGTCCACTGTGAGTCTTGGCAATTGTAAAGGCAACTATTTTCCAACTGATGACTGTAATCCAGGCTGATTGTGGCTGTATCATTTCAACACCAGGCCTCACACTATGGCAGGGAAAGTGAGCATTAAAATGTCTTGCACCAGCGATTAAATTCTTCATCTTGGAGGTGTCACCAAAAACCATTGGGCAGAAGTAGTCACATGTCACTGCCTAATTGCAAGTAGGGATGGGTAGGAAAGAGTAGGTCTTCCATGGGTTCAGGAAAAAAGTATGGGAAGAGTCACTAAATACTCAGCTCACTCTTCTTTCTACACATGGAACATGGTGACTTTTTACAGGATACAGCCCCAAAGTCACATCCAGCCCGGCCGGTGTTGCTCAGTGGTTGAGCTTTGACCCTTGAACCAAGAGGTCACAGGTTCGGATCCTGGTCAGGGCACATGCCCAGGTTGCAGGCTCCATTCTCAGTGGGGGGCATGCAGGAGGCAGCTGAACAATGTTTCATCGATGTTTCTGTCTATCCCTTTCCCTTTCTAAAAATCAAAACATTTAAAAACAAACAAACAAAAAAAACACGAAGTCCCATCCAGGCAGTTT